TGACCCAGCCAAGGACCCTTGGTGACGCCGGAGAGCAAAGGATAAACCCTGAGCATCCCTCCCAGTCCCGCTTTCCATGAGTCTGGGATCGGAAATTCCTGCAGGGCTCCAGTCTGGGTGCCCAGGAGGACAGCAGGACCCTGGGCAGAGCTGGGAGAGCTGGAGAGGGTGTGGGATAGGGAGGGAGAATGTGGGGTTTGGTTTAATTGCACCCCCACACCCAGGGCAGGCTGTGAGCACGAGGTCCCTGAGGGACACTGGGGATAAAAGGGGGACAGAGACAGAGCAGAGCTCGGGGGGACAGAGACAGGGCAGAGCTCAGGGGGACAGAGACAGAGCAGAGCTTGGGGGACAGAGACAGGGCAGAGCTTGGGGGACAGAGACAGAGCAGAACTCAGAGGGACAGAGACAGAGCAGAGCTTGGGGGACAGAGACAGGGCAGAGCCTGGGGGACAGAGCAGAGCTTGGGGGGACAGAGACAGGGCAGAGCTCAGGGGGACAGAGACAGGGCAGAGCTCAGGGGGACAGAGACAGGGCAGAGCTTGGGGGACAGAGACAGGGCAGAGCCTGGGGGACAGAGACAGGGCAGAGCTTGGGGGACAGAGACAGGGCAGAGCTTGGGGGACAGAGACAGGGCAGAGCTTGGGGGACAGAGACAGGGCAGAGCTTGGGGGACAGAGACAGAGCAGAGCTTGGGGGACAGAGACAGAGCAGAGCTCAGCTGCCCACTGGGTTAATGGCTGAGGGGATCCTCTGCCTTTGTGTCCCCCCATCCCTCAGAGCCCACGGCAGGAGTGCCTGCATGGCCTCAGGAGTGCTGGGATGGCCTCAGGAGTGCCAGGATGGCCTCAGGAGTGCTGGGATGGCCTCAGGAGTGCCAGGATGGCCTCAGGAGTGCCTGCATGGCCTCAGGAGTGCTGGGATGGCCTCAGGAGTGCCTGCATGGCCTCAGGAGTGCCTGCATGGCCTCAGGAGTGCTGGGATGGCCTCAGGAGTGCTGGGATGGCCTCAGGAGTGTCTGCATGGCCTCAGGAGTGCTGGGATGGCCTCAGGAGTGATGGGGATGGCTCAGAGTGTCTGCATGGGCCTCAGGAGTGTGGGATGCCTCAGGAGTGCTGGGATGGCCTCAGGAGTGCCTGGATGGCCTCAGGAGTGCTGGGATGGCCTCAGGAGTGCCGGGATGGCCTCAGGAGTGCTGGGATGGCCTCAGGAGTGCTGGGATGGCCTCAGGAGTGCCGGGATGGCCTCAGGAGTGCTGGGATGGCCTCAGGAGTGCCGGGATGGCCTCAGGAGTGCTGGGATGGCCTCAGGAGTGCCTGCATGGCCTCAGGAGTGCCTGCATGGCCTCAGGAGTGCTGGGATGGCCTCAGGAGTGCTGGGATGGCCTCAGGAGTGCCAGGATGGCCTCAGGAGTGCTGGGATGGCCTCAGGAGTGCCTGCATGGCCTCAGGAGTGCCTGCATGGCCTCTGCTCCTGCAGCCATGAATATTGCTGGCCCAGGTTCATAAAACAAGCAAGGCAGCCAATCCCCAGGGGGGGCTGGGCCTGCGGCCTCGCCAGGCTCGCTCTGGGGTGTGTTTGCTCCTTCTTGGGCTTCTCACAAATGGAACCACTGCTGTGGTTCCACTGATGGGAACATTCCCTGGATGCAGCAGCCAGGGGGTCTCATCTCAGATCCAAGGTTTCCCTGGGAGAACCACCCCCTGCAGGCCCGTGGGATTGCACAGAACCCCACTGTTTCTATGAGAATATTGAGGTTACAGAAATATGGTTTGAAGGGTCATGTCCCATCTACTGACAGCTCAAGAAAGATTATAATTTTCTACTGAAACCTAGAAAATTCAGGGTAAATTCACTGTAACAACTTTGGTTTCTTTCTTACTGCAATTCATAGGGCTTTTTCTGTCACAAACCTAAAATTTATGCTCGAGGCCCTGGCCCAGGTTGCCCAGAGAAGCTGTGCTGCCCCTGGATCCCTGGAATTGTCAAGGCCAGGAGGGATGAGGCTTGGTTTAGGTGGGATCTCAGGACCAGGTTCCTCCCCAGAGGGTGGTGGGCACTGACCAGGGAATGGGCACGGCCCCAAGGCTGCCAGAGCTCCAGGAGGGTTTGGAGGGACAGGGGGGGATTGTTGGGGTGTCTGTGCAGGGCCAGGGGTTGGATGGATGATCCCTGGGGGTCCCTTCCAGCTCAGGATGTTCCCTGGCTCTGTTGATTCCATGGTTAAAGCAGCAGTAAAGCTCATTATCATCTTTGTGAAGTGTTTTGGGATTTATTTGTTATAAAAAGCTATAGCAGAGCCGAACATTTTCACTCCTGGGCAGAGTGTAAGGATTTCAGCACCAAGGGAAGCACAGCCACGGGAATTCCCCGGGTGCAGCTCCCCAGGCAGAAGCTCTGTGGGAAGCCTTTGGTGCAGAGAGGGTTTGGGGGCTTATTTTTGGTTTTTTTTGCTGTTCCCTGACACTCTGATGACACCCTGTGGGCTTCCCCCTCTACTACTGTAGCTTTTCCTCCTCGGTGCTTCTTCTACTCCTTTCCCTACATTTTTCTCTGGTGATTTTTCCTTCAGGCTGTACTTCAGCCTTTAGTGAGGAGGAGTCACCTCACTGATGTGGCTGCCCCTGGATCCCTGGGAGTGTCCCAGGCCAGGCTGGATGGGGCTTGGAGCACCCTGGGCTGGTGGGAGGTGTCCCTGCCCAGGGCAGGGGTGGCACTGGGTGGGCTTTGAGGTCCCTTCCAGCCCAAACCATTCCATGATTTGACGATTCCATGCAAAGCACAGTCAATACTCTGCCAAGGTGAGATTCAGACTAAACCTCGGATGAACACGATGAAAACTCGGGATGAATTTTATCAGTAATATTTGGATGAATTTTATCAGTAATATTTGGATGAATTTTATCAGTAATATTTGGATGAATTTTATCAGTAATATTTGGATGAATTTTATCAGCAGTATTTGGATGAATTTTATCAGCAGTATTTGGATGAATTTTATCAGTACTATTTTCCCAAATGGCAGCAGCAGCAGCAGAGTCATCCCAGAGATGTGCTCGCCCTCCAGCAGTGCCAGAGCAGACAGTCTGGTTCGGGGAGGATGAGGCAGTGGATAGTCAGTCACCTCTGCAGGAATATCAGCCTTGTAAGTGTGGGAAAGAGAGGGAATGTTCCTCCCAGGTACAGCTCCCAGAGGTTTCACCAGGGGCTGGGGAAGATCTCGGAGTGCTCCAGGCCTGGCAATGCTTTAAAATGTTGGGTGGAATAAAGTGAATGGAGGCCTCCAGGAGGGATGTTTCTCAGGAAATCACAGACTCACAGAACCATGGAATGGGTTGAGTGGGAAGGGACCTTAAAACCCATCCCATCCCACCCCTGCCATGGGCAGGGACACTTCCCACCAGCCCAGGGTGCTCCAAGCCCCGTCCAACCTGGCCTTGGACAATTCCAGGGATCCAGGGGCAGCCACAGCTTCTCTGGGCAACCTGGGCCAGGGCCTCCCCACCCTCACAGCCAGGAATTCCCTCCTCATATCTCAATTGTTTATTATCTGATTAACATGTTAGGTGTCCACTGGAATGATTTCCACTCGGAAGAGCCCGTGGCACCCTGCTGGGAGCTGTCAGGAGCTGGAGCTGAGCCAGGAGTGATGAGCTGAGCTGGGCAGCCACAAGCTCCCGCTGCAGCAGCGATTCCAGCCCATCCCAGACCCCAGGGATTAGTCACACTGTTCCCTGGGAAGAGCAGTCCATTGATTTCCCCTTCCCCCCTGGAATCCAGCACTGGAGGCTGCCCTTCCTCCCCCTGTGCACATCGAGGGCGGGCAGGAAAGCTCCAGCTCCTGCAGACAGGTCCCAGAATCCAGAAATCCAGCTGTGGGGAATGACCCCTCTGCTGGAATGTCCCAGCTGGTGCTCAGTGCATCACTTCCCAGGGAAAGGGAAACAGAGGCTGCATCCTTCTGTGGGAACAGAGCAGAGTGATCTCACTGTTATCATGTCTGAGATCTCCTGTGCAGGAGAGGAAGGCCAGCCCCTGTCCCAGAGTGATCTCACTGTTATCATGTCTGAGATCTCCTGTGCAGGAGAGGAAGGCCAGCCCCTGTCCCAGAGTGATCTCACTGTTGTCATGTCTGAGATCTCCTGTGCAGGAGGGAAAGGCCAGCCCCTGTCCCAGAGTGATCTCACTGTTGTCATGTCTGAGATCTCCTGTGCAGGAGGGAAAGGCCAGCCCCTGTCCCAGAGTGATCTCACTGTTATCATGTCTGAGATCTCCTGTGCAGGAGGGAAAGGCCAGCCCCTGTCCCAGAGTGATTCACCTGGTGTGACAGGTGAGATCACCAGCCCGGGGCTCCTGGGAATGACTCACACCTGAGTGTTGGAGCAGCATCCCACTGTCACCCGGATCCTGGCAGGCTCTGAAGTCACTCTGCTCCTCATGGTGCTCTGGACGTGCCCCCAGCAGAGGGGTGTGATGCTCTGGAGGAACATGTGGGTAATAAATGACAATGAGACGGTGATGCTGAAGTTGTGCAGATCAGGTAAAATGTCCCACGAGAGACTTCCTTCTCAGGGAGAGATTCTTTAAGAAGAAATCCTTCCCTGGGAGGGTGGGGAGGCCCTGGCCCAGGTTGCCCAGAGAAGCTGTGGCTGCCCCTGGATCCCTGGGAGTGTCCAAGGCCAGGTTGGACGGGGCTTGGAGCCACCTGGGCTGGTGGAAGGTGTCCCTGCCATGGCAGGGGGTGGGACTGGATGAGTTTTAGGGTCCCTTCCCACCGAAACCAGTCTGGCATTCTATGATTTTCACAATACTCCCTCAGTCCTCTCTAAACTCATCATTTTTGTAGCTCTCAGTGTGGCAGGCAGTGCAGTGGCTGCAGCAGAAACTGCAGCTCATTAGGGATATTTTGGAGCGAGTGGCTCAGGCACCAGCTGCTCTCGGGGTCGTGCTCTCTGATCTAATTTTATCTCTCAGAGCTCTGTAGCAGGAAGTGAAGCACAGCTCGTTGTGAGGGGATCAGTCCATCCCTGATGGTAAAGGGAAGGGCTGACCTTATTGGAGCTGCACCAGCATTATCCCAGTAGGTAAAAACCAGGAGCAAGGTTGTTACAGTTTGCTTTAAGCTTGAATAATTCGTATTTGTTAAATAGGAGTTAAAGCTAAAGCAGAATGGGTAATCACAGAGTCAGAATGACAGACTAGTTTGGGTGGGAAGGGACTTTAAAGCTCATCCTGTCCCACCCCTGCCATGGGCAGGGACACCTCCCACCAGCCCAGGTTGCTCCAAGCCCCGTCCAACCTGGCCTTGGACACTTCCAGGGATGGGGCAGCCACAGCTTCTCTGGGCAACCTGGGCCAGGGCCTCCCCACCCTCACAGCCAAGAATTCCTTCCCAGTATCCCATCTAACCCTGCCCTCTGGCAGGGGCTTGGTGGTCTGGGGGAAACTGAGGCAGGGGCCGTGCAGGGGTTGATGTCAGGGGGGAATCGGCCGGCACAGGGCACTGGGGGACAGTGGAGGTTTTAGGATTTTAGGAGCTCTCTGAACCAGACACAGAGCCTGGTTTATAAAGGAGACGTTGCTTGTTCTGCGCAGGGCGTAAGGTGGAGGTTTCCACAAATGAAGCGCCCCAAGGAGTAAAAAAATCACATTTGTACAGTAGTATTTTCATCAACCCACCCATGCAACATATAGCTGCCGCCTACCTGACGCACATTTATTTAGCCGGCGCGATCTTATGCAATCCTTGTTTCTGTGCCAGCACAGATTCACTCGGGGGCTCGGGGGGTCCTTTGGGTTTGGGGAAGTGCCCCCTATTCAGTTTTAGGCAAAGTCCCTCAGAGGTTTCCTTGGCAAGCAAGATGCGACCTGCTGCCCCGGGCCCCAGCTTCTGAACAACACTTAAAGCCACATTTACATCCTGTGGCCCAGCCAGCTGACAGGAGACACAGCTGGTGACAACTGTGCAACAATAGCCCAGGTGGCCCTTTGTGCCAGGTCCCTCCTTTGAGGCCATGGCACCTCTTTCACTGATAGGCCAAGACCCTGTTTCACCCCCACACACACTCTCTGTGAGTCTCTGGGCGAATTATTTACAATTTCTGAGCCTTGAGATGTTGGCATTGGTGTCACTGGGGAGGTGGCGGGCACCGGGCGGCGAGGGGCGGCTGTGGCTGTGAGGGGCAGTTACGGCTCCGAGGGGGCAGTTGTGGCTCTGAGGGGGGGGCAGTCGCTCTGAGGGGGCAGTTACGGCTCTGAGTTGGCAGCTTGTGGCTCTGAGGGGGCAGTTTAGGCTCTGAGGGGGCAGTTATGGCTCTGAGGGGGAAGTTGTGGCTCTGAGGGGCAGCTGTGGGCTGTAGGGGCCGTTACGGCCTCCGAGGGGGCAGTTGTGCTCTTGAGGGGCAGTGTGGGGGGGGGGGGTTGGGGGATCTGAGGGGGTAGTTGGTCTGAGGGGGCAGTTGTGGCTCTGAGGGGGCAGTTACGGCTCTGAGGGGGCAGTTGTGGCTCTGAGGGGGTAGTTGTGGCTCTGAGAGGCAGTTATGGCTGTGGCCGTGAGAGGACAGTTATGGCTGTGGCTGTTGAGTGGGTGACGGTAGCTCTGAGGGAGCCGGCGCCATCTTTGCCCCTCAGGCGCCGCGCGCGCGGCGGGGGCTGAGGGAACCGCCGGCGGCCGCCGAGGAGGGAGCGGAGGCTGCTGGTGGCACTTGGCGGCAGCGGGCGAGGGCAGGTGGTGGCGGCGACCCCCGGACCGCTGCGGTGGGGCAGGACACGGAGCCGCCACGGCGCGGAGAGCGATCCGCCCTCCGGGGAGCCCCCTCCGCCATCTTCGCTCCCCCTCAGGCGCCGCCGCCATCTTTGTTCCCCCCTCAGCGAGGCGCGGACGCGGCGGGGGAGGGGAGGGGGGGGGGAAGGGCGAGGCAGCCGCGTGACGGGGTGGGCGTGGCCTCTCCCCCCGCCCCCCGCGCGCTGTGGGCGGGGCCGGCGGGCGGGGTCACATGACCGCGGCCCGTGCGCAGCCCGAGCCAACATGGCGGCGCTGGCGGGCGCAGGGGCCGCGCTCGGCGCTCCCCGCGTTTGAGGGGCCGCCCCGGCCCCCGCCGCGCTCCCGCCGGCGGCAACGACCCCGCAGCGCCCCGAGCCCCGCCGCGTCCGACATGAGGGAGAAGGGCCGCAGGAAGAAGGGCAGGACCTGGGCAGAGGCCGCCCGGACGGTGCGCGGGGGGGCCGCGGGGCGGGTCGGAGGCCGCGGGGCGGGTCGGGGCGCTCCCGGCGGGGCTCGGGGGGAAGGGGCGGGTGGCGGGGCGGCCTCGGCCTCCGGGGCCACGGGGCCTGCCCCCGGGGCTCCGCTCGGCCGCCCGCGCTCGCATGGGCAGGGTTTTTTTATTTTGACCTGTTCTCCAGTTGCTTAATGCTTCCCGGCAGGAATTTCCCTGGGAAGCGCCGCGGGGGAGGGACTGCCGCCTGGTTTCGCGGTGGTGAGCGAGGGTTTAAGTCGCATCCGCCAACAAGTGACACGCACAGGGGTGTTTTTTTTCGGTGTTCGCAGCGTGTCGGTGGCTCTCGTGCCGTGGGAGCTGCGGAGTCGCCCCGGGTCAGGCGGAGTCGCCAACCCCGAAAGGAGAGTTTTTACCGCCCGGTTTGCCAGCCCGACGGTGGTTTTTTTGCCGTCCTGTCTCCAGTCTGGACTCGGGGTAGTCCCTGTGCGGGACAGGCACGTTACAGGGCGGGGAAGAGAAAAGGGAAGTTGAGGAGCGGGACAGGGATGAGAGAGGGAACCGCAGCAAGGCGACCTGCGGGAGCTGCGAACGCCCAGCAAAGATCCCCGCGGGGGTAAAGCCCCCTCCGGGAGAGGGGGAGGAGCTGGAGCTCCGCGAACCTCTCTGGAAGAGGGATCTGTTCAAACAGGACTTGAAAAGTCTGGCTGGGAAGCAAATGTAAATAGAAACCCACGGCTGAGACTTGCAAGGGATATTTTAATAAATAAACGCGTTTGGACCTTGTGTTTGCAGCTTGGGAGGCGTCAGAATAGCTGCTCTGCTTTCAGGAGGTGGGATGCAGTTGGAGATTTTGAGAAATAAGACACTGTCCCACAGGCAAACACTTTGGTGTTTCTCTCTGTGTGCTTTTGGGTGTGATTTGTACCCGTTTGTTTTGAAAGAACAGTGGAAGAACGTCCAGTGGAGGGTATAGGTGGGACCAGATCTTTTCCAGCCCCTGTGCCCTGCTGTCCATCCTCTGAGCTCTCCCAGAATCCACTTAAGGGCTCAAACAGGTCTTTAGCCAGAGGCTGCACTGAGGCCTCAGAACTGCAGGTTCCACGTTGCCCAGTCAGGACAGGGGCAGACCAAAGCAGGAAAAGATGAGTAAATCCCTGCCAAAACCTCAGCCCTGGCAGATGTTCCTGGTGGTGTGCTCAGCAGGAATGTTAGACTGCTCTGGTCAAACTCCAGCTCCAGTATTCCATAAGTTCCCCGGCGTTTTTTTGGGTTGGAATCGTGGCTTTTGGTTCTTGCCTTCGCCTGTGTGCCTGGGCTGGGCTCTCTGCTGCTGCCTGGGGTTTGTGGGGAAAGTTATAAAACCACGCTGAGAAATGTGGCAGCTTCCAGGTCTCCCGTGCTTCTGCTTTTGGGAGGTGACATGGAACTGTCCTCGGGCCTGGGAAACCTCCCAGTTTGTGTCCAGGTGCCCCCCCTGTGTGGGGGCTGAGCTCTGAGCTGGCCCTGGGCTGGGGGGACCCCAAAAGGCTGCAGGGGAAGGGCCTGGGGCTCTGTGTTTTCCTGGAGCCCTGCTCCTCACAGGATCCTCCAGGCTGGAAAAGCCCCACCTTGTCACCCAGCCCTGAGGAGCAGCCTCAGGCCATCACAGCTGGATGTTCTGGTGCAGTTCTGTCCCCCCTCCACCTCCTCCTCTGCTGTCACCTCCCCACTTGCAGGTGGTTAATGCAGCCAAACCAGCAAAAGAAATTGTTTTTTATGCTTAACTGTTGGTACTGATCTGTTCAGTCTTCCCAGCCAGGAGCTTGGGGTGAGTGTCCTCCAGTGCTGGGGAGATGGTGGGAGTGTGAGGAGGGGAGAACACCAAGGTAATCCCTTCCTCAGCTTGCTTGGTCCCTTGGAGTGGGTCAGTATTAGCTGGGAACAAGATACAGCACAGAGGTGTGGCCTTGCTGTCTGCTGGGAAGACCTGGGGAGGGGTGTGGATGAGGGGGTTCAGTGGGCCCCCGGCTGTTGCTCTGGGGCGTGTGGGACTGTTCTGTGGGGCAGCAGTGCGGGCTGAGGGGAGGGAAGGTCCCTGTGTGGGCAGGAAGTCACTGTTGATAAACAAGGGTTTTCTCATTTCCTGGCTGGCTCAAAGTGCAGCTGCAGATGGCTGGGGACTGGAGGCTCTGCTGGGACAGGGGCTGGCTGTCCCTGCTGCTCAGAAAGCCCACCTTGACTGAGGTGAGGAGCTGATGGTGCAGAGCACAGAAGCTGAGGAGAGCAGGGCACAGGTTTCAGGTGCCCCTGGCAGCCCAGCCTGTGCCAGTTCTTGAGCTGGACCAGACACTGGTGTGCAGGCTCAGCTGGTGATCCTGCAGCCAGACCTGTGCCAGGGGGATGCCTGTGCTGTGCCCAGCTGGGGCTGAGCTCAGACAGGGGCTGTGGCAGCCCAGAGTTCAGCAGAGCTCTGTGAGTGCTGCCTGTTAACCCAGGGAGAGCCAGGATTCCTTGGGACTGGATTTAGCCTGATTTGGGATGTGTTGTCCTGCTGCATTCCCACAGCATGGGCAGCAGGGCAGGGGGGGTCCTACAGCCCCTCTGCCCCCTCAGCTGAGCCCCCCCTGCAGAGCTGCCTCCAGCCCTGGGCAACAGCAGCACAAGGACGTGGAGCTGCTGCAGAGAGTCCAGAGGAGGCCGCGGAGATGCTGCCAGGGCTGGAGCCCCTCTGCTCTGGAGCCAGGCTGGGAGAGCTGGGGGGGCTCAGCTGGGGAAGGGAAGGATCCAGGGAGACCTTGGAGCCCCTTCCAGAGCCTAAAGGGGCTCCAGGAGAGCTGGAGAGGGACTGGGGACAAGGCCTGGAGGGACAGGACACAGGGAATGGCTGCCCAGTGCCAGAGGGCAGGGAGAGATGGGAGATGGGTAAGGGATTCCTGGCTGTGAGGGTGGGGAGGGGCTGGGATTGAATTCCCAGAGAAGCTGTGGCTGCCCCTGGATCCCTGGAAGTGTCCCAGGCCAGGTTGGACAGGGCTTGGAGCAACCTGGGCTGGTGGGAGGTGTCCCTGCCCACGGCAGGGGTGGGACAGGAGGAGCTTTAAGTCCCTTCCAGCCCAAACTGTTGCTTTATCCCCTCTCCCCGGGGTGTGCAGGGAGGGAAGTGGGCGCTGCCTGGGCCGACAGGGAAGACGTTTGTTGTTTGTTTTCCAGGGGAAGTCCCCGTGTGTGACCCGACAAAAGGGTTTCCTGCTCCTGCTGCACGGCTGCCAGGGCTGGGGCTGGGAGTGCAGGCAGGAGGTGGGCTCTGGGAATGCTCCTGGGCGGGGTCAGCTGGGAACAGCACGTGGAATGTTTGATGTGAGGGGGAGCTGCTGCAGCCATGGGCTTCAGAATCCCAGAAGGGATTGGGTGGGAAGGGACCTTAAAGCCACCCCCTGCCATGGGCAGGGACACCTTCCACTAGACCAGGTTGCTCCAACCTGGCCTTGGACACTTCCAGGGATCCAGGAGCAGCCACAGCTTCTCTGGGCAACCTGGGCCAGGGCCTCCCCACCCTCCCAGCCAGGAATTCCTTCCCAGTCTCCCATCTAAATCTGCCCTCTGGCAGTGGAAGCCATTCCCTGTGTCCTGTCCCTCCATCCCTTGTCCCCAGTCCCTCTCCAGCTCTCCTGGAGCCCCTTTAGGCTCTGGAAGGGGCTCTCAGGTCTCCCTTCTCTTCCCCAGCTGTACATTTCCCTGTTGAGGTGGACTCAGGAGAGAGGGTGGAAGGATCCAAACTATGGGAGTTTTCTGCAAGCAGCTGAGAGTGTTGGCTCACCCACACACACCAACCTGGAAACCTGGGGAGGTTCCAGGGGGCTGCAAAACCCAGGCAGAGCTTGTGGGGGTCTGTGAGCCCCGAGCTGGAGGCACTGCCAGCCCCCTGTGTGCTCCTGGGAGCTCTGGCAGAGCAGCAGGGTGTGGTGGAACTGAACTGCACGGGGTGTCTGAGCACAGTGCTCCGTGTCACCAGGGCCTCAGAGGG